TAAAGCAGCAAATTTAATTCACATAGAAACAAAAATCAATGTATAAAAATTGCACTCACTCAGAAAATTCCTTATCCTTACTACTTCATCTTATTTTCCTAGCTGCTACCAGAATTGGGTCTTACTAAAAACCATAACATCATTTCTTTTTTGTGTGTCCTTCCACCATCTCATCAGTTAGCTATTTCACAATTTCCAACCTCTTCATAACCCCAGTTTTAACTTGAGCACTTTCAGTTTGGGGCACTGTTGCAAGAAAGCTGGCTTCTTTTTCCCCATCTGTCCCACCCTTACTCAAGTATCAGACTAAAAAACAATGCTAAATAATGTGAGTACAAATTCTTCCATAAAGGTCTTAGCAAGCTAGCTATAAGGTTTATAAATATCTGCCTCAAACAGATGCAAGTATGGATCATAAACATTATAAACATCTTCTGAAAATAAAACATTGTACAAGGCTTTGTTTCATTACCAGAAGTGCAATTATCTGAGACTGCCAATTGCTGCTTTGGCTGCATTCCCTGTATGCTGGAGAGGTAACTCCCTTGTAAGGATATATGGTGAAACAGGTGCAAAAGAAGACATGAAAATTGTGTGCAGATACATCACTAGAGAAGTTGGATGGCATGATTCACATTCGTTTCCTGGAGATGTTTAAAAACTTTCTGAAAACATTATGATCAAGCAGACAGAAGTGTTCTCTGGCTAAATAAGCGACTGGCCCAGAAAAGTCTAGGATTTGTAGCATGCGAAGTGTGAAATGAAGGATTGCGCCATCTTAGCCAAGTTAAATTCAGTCTTTTGCCGAGTCTTTGAGGCTGATCTTGAAGGACAGGATGGAAAAGTCATTAAAAACAAAAGCAATGAAAGAAAAGAAAAGAAAACCCAGAACAAATAACCGCAAGTATCTGCTGCATGACCCTAGACACCCGGTAATATTACCTACTGGCTCAGGTGCTGAGGGTCACGTTCAGACCACATGAAATACAGTTTTAAAATATGAACAGATGAAATGATATTAATGGAGATAGAATCTCATAAAAATACTAAATAGAGAAGCAAGCGGTGTGGCACGCATGACAAGGTTTAAAAAAATTTAAAGATTAGTTTTTTCCTAGTTTGCTCCTAGGGAACAATGGCATGAAACCCCCAAATCCAGAAATCATACATATTTCTGAATTTTACATCATCAGTGAATTATCTTAAACCCACACTTGCCCTTAACGTTGCTGCTGTCCTTACCAGACATACCCACCCTGGATAATTTGTTGTACTGTATTAAATCACACAAATATTTGTTTTGGTTTTGGAAAAAATAAAAAGTTTTTTTCAACTTATTATAGTTAAGAAGTATACAGATGACTTTCAGGAGAAAAGGATACTTCTCTCATTACGTTCTGAATTAATCTGAATCTCAACAAGTACCCAACAGGCCTTTATTATGCATTTAATTTAAATTACATTAATGTGTAACTCAGGAAGAAAAGTGAATCGTTTCTAGCAGCAAGACATCAGCTGTCCTTGCTCGCTACCTAAAAGAGTCAATTTTACAGCAAGCTGCAGCTACTCTGCTCCTACTGTATTTGATGTGGGTTTGAGAATGTTTCAGGGGATTTACTGTTTTGGTACCTGTTTGTCCCTTTTTAATAAGTGTAAGATGATGGGTTTTAAACAGAGATAATAATTCAGGAAAGCTATAAGTTCTTTTATATAAAGACTTTAATCAGGAGCATGACATTTCTTTTGAAACAAGAGCAGCTTCTTAATTTCTTTTGCCTGGAAGGAACTGACTTCCCTGATTTAGTTTGATGTGTTACTGCTTTTTGACTAATGTCCTAATCCTCCTAGTAAATTTTCGCTCAGTTACATAGTCTGGTTTTCATAGAAGTTTCAAAATTATGAAAATGATACACTTTGTAGGTGGGTAGAAAGAAAAGGAAGGCTTTTAAGACATGTTTACTCTGCCATCAAAAAGAGAAATGCACCACTATGTGTGAATAATATTAATCTCAGTCCTATATTAGGTACTGGCTATACTTTAGAAATAATGGCATGGACTTTATCCTAGGTCTGCTGCGAGAATCTCAAGGGAGTTTATACAGCTCTCCCTGATACACATTTCCATGGTTTTACTGTGATTGGTATCTGAACTAGTAAGATTAAAAGTTGTTCAGGAATGTCTCTGCAGGCTGCAGTACCTACAGTTGAAGCTCAGTCATGCTCTTTCTAGCTGCAAGCTAAGATCTTCCTACATAAACCAGCAACTGGAATTTACAGAAATGACTGAGATTACACTCCACGTTACACTAAAATACACAGCAAAATAACAAATTAAATACAAAGTGAAAATGCAATTAAATAAATATTAGAATGGAAACTGATCAGTGAGATATCAAAGCTGTTCTCTTAACTGCCTCTCAAAAGAAAGTTGAAGAACAGGTGACTATTTGAAAAAACTCCTCTCCAAATCCACTTTCTCTGGTTCGTCTCCAAGCATCATCTTAGTCTGAAAACCTAGGAAAAAGTTGAGGGCACTAGCCAGCCAGCTGATCAAAAGTAACAGCCATGATGACTTTCAAGCATTTGTCTGTCTCTCAGACTATGGCATAAATCTTCTAGGGCCTCTGTAACCACCTGCATCATTGTCTCTGACTTGGGACCTATGACATAAAGGTGACATTTTTGAGGAAAATGCTCTTTACACACCAAACCTTGGTTCATATCCTGTATTTTAAACTTATCAGTCACAGTGACATTTCTGATACCCAAATTATGCTCTTTATCTGCAGCTACACTCTCCTGGTTTCACTGTCATATAGCTGTTCTTTTTTCATGTCTCCCGTTCCTGTAGTGCACTGCTGCACTGTCCTTTTGGACTGATGGCTTGCTTCCCTCTTCTATCCCTTCCATCACCTTAAACTATCTCTTTTTTTTTTTTAAATAAAATGCAGATTTAATATTCATAAATCATTTTCTATATGTAAAGGTTCTGTACCAGCCCTGTAGCCAGGTAGGTAAGAAATAAAGCAACTGGGGACCAGGACATCTGCAAAAAAACCCTGGAAAATATTTATTTATTCACCTAAACAAAAAGAGCAAATAATGAAATATTTAGTCCTCAAAATTCATTTTCAGTAAAAAAAAAAAATTAAATTGGGGTGGATTTTGAACAATATTGTCACTGTCCCTGGCCTCTGAATTTTTATCAAAAGATGAAAAACTAAATAAAAAAAAAAATCATTAACCCCAGATTCTTATCCAAACATTAGCTAATTTTCCAAAATCAGCTCTCCAGAGTTGCAGCAACATTTCTATGAGTTTTATGGGGGGCTTGAAAAGCCATTAGAAATTGTAATTAGCTCTAGCATCACCCTCCTCTTTTCAGTCTGTTCCTCTTTTATTTTTTATTCTTTTTAATAGAAGCTTCTGGCTTTTACTGTGAGAGTAAATTCGTAACAACGTTTTCAAAATGAGTATTTCACTAACTAGTGAGAGGAGCTGGTTAGCCAAAGTATCAACCTCTCTGTTCTTCTATTTATATCTCCTAAAGTTAGAAGCCTACATTGCTGACTGTAAGCCAGTCCTTTGCCTCTATTATTTCCTAGGTATGTCTACAGCCAGATTAAAAACATCTGCTGGACCCGGCAAATTTATCCACAGTTCAGCCAAAGCTCTTAATCAGATTCAATTTCCTCTTGTCCTGGTCCCTTTAATTCTCTCCTTATTGTCTGCCTATATCTTAACTTGAAACTTCAACAATTCATCTTCTCTTCCAAACGGGGCAATAGCATCTCATTCCCAGATTCAAAACCCTTAGATCCATTTCTGCAGCTAATATAAAAGCTGTCTGCACCTTTGAAGTTCTCAGGTTCATAGAAACTTTCTGTGTCTGTTCTATTTGTAGCTCCCATCAACATCAGATGGCAGATTGTTTTCTGTCCTCCTTCCTTATTTTATGTCAGACAATAATGTCCCAGTCGTCTTATATCTAATTCCTGTGGTTTGAATCTTTCACTTCAAATGATTTTCTCTACCTGATGTTCTAAATCCTACCTAAAAATCCATTTCTTCTACTGCTCTTTCTATTCCACAGTCACAAATGCAAGCTGACCCTGTCCAAGTTTATTATTTTTTATTTGAAACTTTCTTACTGTATTCACCTCTTCTACAGGTATCATCAATCTAACTTTACTTCCCCAAAATGATTAGTTAAGTATCTTTTCCCAGTGTCACAGTGGAAGATATGGTCCATATTCGGTTTCATTGGTAATGATACCAAACTCTGTACACAGAAAATGAAAGCTTAACTCTAGGTAAGGGAAACAGATACCATTCTGTAAAGCAAAAGAGTGTGATTATTGAGTTCTCACAGTTTAATTGGAAGTCTTGTGACATTTGACATTCTTTCTCAAAGTTTTAGCTCTCAAAGGTAGTTGATTATTTAAGACCCTCTTTTTTTTTTTCAAATTTTGTTTCAGGTGGACTTTGAGAAGCAACTCAGACAAATCTTGTTTAGACAGTGTATGACTCCCACAGCTCAAAGCCAACAATATCTAACCTACATTAAAACCAACATCTAAACTACATTAAAAACAGCGTGGAAATATGACCAAAGTGAAGTTGAAAGGCTTAGGGAGCAAAAAAGCAGATTAAAAAAAAAGATTTTTTTTAAAGTATTTTTAGCTATGCCGATAATTTTGGTTGTGTGACTCATACCTTGAGAAACCTTTGAGATAGTAATAGTCAAAGACAGGTATCTTCTGATTCAAGAAATCAGACACCACAAATCTATTCACTAAAAACCCCAAACTGAGTGTACACACATCTGCAGTCTTCAATAGTAGAACAATATAAAGTATAGATCCTGCAAAAAAGGGAGGCGGGCCCCAACCCCCGGCCCTACAGCCCTTTAACTTGTTCCCAGACTACCCCAATGTTCCACAGAGGCCGACATTTATCAGTGGCCCGCTCACAGGCAGAGCGGCCCCACTGGCACTCACCACCGGCCGGTGCACGTCCCAGAACGCTCGCTCCTGGCTGTCAAGAATCTTCCTCTCTATCTTGTCTCTCTTCTTGTCCACTCTGTCAATGTTATAGGATATTTAAAAGAAGTGGTGTTGATGACAGTAATTTTAAACATAACAAGTGTCCAACCACTTTTCCCTCCCTTTCTCCCTCCCTTTCTCCCTTCAAAAAGCATGCAAAACCAAAACTCCTCATCTTCAAAGGAACTTACTTTGCTTGTGCTTCAGCTTGCATAAAAATAAACTCCCATTTCCGAGCAAATGCTCGCTGTAGCCTGGCCAAACTCTCCTGAAAATACATCACAATTTTAGTGGGTTAGGTTGTAAGTTACTTACCATTTAATAGCTTTTAGTTTATCTTTCCCTCTTCCCCTCGCCCACCCCAAGATGTAATACAAGTTGTGATATCTGTGCCGGTGTAAATGTACCTTACTTATCTGATATAAAGTCTTTGCTTGACACCAAATGGGATGGAATACTAGATCTATCTACTTTTGAATGCGCCAACTATTTTAGTTTTGAAACTCTGATGACAAGGGTGGATGCAACCTTCAACAAAACATGGGATTTCTGAAGGATTTTTATATACTGGGTGCTGGCTGAGTAATTTTGTAATAACACAAAGAAACATTCTTGTTTTGAAAGAACCTAATACTGAAAGATAACAGCAGTACTTTCCATACTGGATGATCCACATAACAATTCCCATCAGTCATCTATACAAATGGTTTGCATTGAACAGTGTTGGCTGCTTATCAATTTATTTAAAATACAATAATAAGAATCTATCAATATTTTGGTAGTATAGGAATCTTCCAAGACCTCCACAGCTATCCTCATTTTAAAAAAAAGCGGACTATAGTTCTTCACTACTGCACAGGAAATATGTATATCCTACAGCCCACTAATAATAACAGAAAGAAGACTTGTAAAATCTTAGCAAAATTTTTTCCTCCAGTGATGCTGGAACAGCTTCACTATCTGTAACAGAGCTTTTCTAATCTCCCTCCAGCTTAAATGGCAGCAGTATGTAGTCTGTTAACATGGAGAAGGTTCTTAACTTCCTCCAAAAAGACCCGAGTTACCTTCCTGCACTGCTTTTACTGAGACTAAGTGAAAAATTGTAAGCTTCCTAACAAAAAGTGTTGCTTTAACTGTATTTCTGTGCATTGCAGGTGCATCTCTATGACATACTTACTGAAAAGCAAGACTGCAGAGAGTGAAGAGGAGACTTTCTAGAGATCTTGTCAATACCAGTAAAGGCTCTCGTGGATTGTATACTGGAGGTGAATTTTCTAAGGCATGTAAGTATAAAATTATGCATACCCCACAGTGCAGTACACTGAAAAGCAAGCTTGTGCCAGAAGCAGCAATAAAGCGTGTCAGCATGGTGCTGCGGCTGGAGTATTTGGCATGTTGAGAGGCCTGGCTGACTATCCTGCTATCATGTCACAGTAGCACAGCTGGACAGCTTTCAGCGCAGAGCCAGGGCTGTTCATGAATTTTATGTTGACATTTTCCTGAAAAATTCAGGAACTTTTGGGGGGATAGGGATGGAATTCAATACATGTGTCTCCTTCGCGAGTGCCATTCTCATCAGCTAATCAAACTCCCTCTTTTGCCGGCTCTTCCTGGCCCCAATTATCTTTGCCTGGGGCACAACAGAACTTTCAGGGAGTGGGAAGTGCTTCTAGTCTGACCTTCTTTGCCTCTCGTGTAACTGATGGGACAAGGGCTCAAGCACCAGCATCACTTTAAAGAATGAGATTTATATTTCTACAGCTACCAAGTGCTTTTGAAAGTGTTGCCAGAGATCCTTCATTCAAACCCTACACGGTGTAGAGTACAATTGCTTTCAAACACTCGAGGTGTATTTAGGATTTGTGAACAGTTATTTCTGATCTTGGCATGATGATTTGAGCAGAGTAAGATTAGAGATGGATCAAAATCTCAACTTTTGCCCAGCTAGCCTTCACTACAATCTCTGAAACAGCATTTATGACTACTGAGCACTGTCAGACCCACATGCTGGCAAAAGTGGATAACTAATAAATTTTCACACATAATGCCTATAGTTCTCATGCTTAACATTATTTCACATGCTCGTTAGACCCAGCAGAGAAATTTACTTTTCCCCAGGTACTTACAGCTTCATAGTCTGCTAGCTCTAGCCTTGCTTTGTTTTGCATTGTCCGCTTGCAGAGGTAAACAGCTGGAACAGAATAAAATAACACAGAATTTGCTACTATCTCACAAACACAGCAGACCAGAAATCTAGAGGCTTCATCTCTATTTTATTGCTAGTTTTTTTTTTTTTTTAATTTCTCCCTCTATTCTAAAAAGCTTTAAATACAGGACCAATGCTACCAGTATTGTAACTAAAATTATGGGTCAGATACAGAGATTCATTAAATAATTATAAAATCTGCTTTATGCAACAGACATCATATACAAAATGCATGAGATACTTGGGGCGACGTTGTTTAATGGCCAGGGAACTAGCACATTAAAGAAAAAATAGCAAAAACATTTTTTAAACTGAGTGTGTATAACTCATAATGCGTAAGAGTTTTATCAGGAGCTGCTGCTATATTAGTTTTTAGAACTAATTTTTTAAGAAATTTTTTTCTTAAAAGAAAGGACGTGTATACATGGTTTTATTTATTTTTACTTTATATTTAGAAATCACAAAATTTCAACCTAAGAAGCTTTTAGCTAAAAATTAATTCCAGATAAAATTCAAGTCTCATAGAGATCAGTCTGCTATAACCAATATTTAAAACAGAAAATAATGTGAGACCAAAAAATGAAAAAAGTGTATCATGTGTTAGATATAATGAGAAAAAATATTCTTTCGTTTATTTTCTAGATCAGCAGAGCTGTTCTGCCTCCACCTCATTCAGACAGAGCAGAATCTTAACTAATAAAATGGAATACTGACATCTAAATACTGAAGGACGCAAGGACGAAAATGAAACTCAAGACTACATAAACAGCACAGTGGTTTGCATCACGTTGCTTGATCCCGAAATCTTCATGCACTCCATTACCCTTGAATGAAGTACATTTGCAGTAGACTTTATTTAGCAACAATACTTCACATCAACTCTGAATATTGTACAGCTTCCCCCACCAGTAAGACGAGTGCAGCACAATTCTTATTGTGCAATATTTACCCACTTCATTACTTCAGAGCAACTTCTCATGTGTGAGATGGAGGTATCTTTTGGTCAGTGTAGGTAAGAAAACCTTGACAATCAGCAAAAAGAGCCCATATTTACTGGTTGTGGTTAGGAATGTTCCTGCTTCTTGACTGCCAGCTTGTCCACCACAGGAGCAAAGAGGAATAATTTCGCATAGGAACCTAACTCTTGCAATCACTAGGAAGAAGGAAGTGCTCATCTTACATATAGCTTTGATTTTTAAGGTAGTCAAACCAATTATATTTTACAACTCCATGGAAACATTTATTTCTGACAAGTCACCTGCAAATGCATGCAAACCCACTCCAGTGGATGCTATTTCAGTGGAACGGATGACAAGCACTTCTAATAACTCCAGCTGCAATAACAGGTGTTAGTTGATGTAAAATGAAGCTATATTTTAATGCAGTTTTTGTCTTCCCCCCCTCCCCCTCTCATTTTGTGTGTGTTATCTGGTCTATTTTCTGCCATACTTTTTCACTTTCCACTCCCATAAGAAACCATGGTCTCTTTCTTTATTCCCTGCACTTCTGGCTCCAAAGCAATTTCTGTGCCTACAAAATCTACAAATACAGATACAAATCCATGTCACACACCAAGTATAGCAGACAAACAGTTTCTATAGTCTCAGTTTCCATGCATTTTAATATTAGTATACACTTACACTAGTGCATTGGCATGCATGCTGAAATGTCACAAAAAGATGAGGGGATGAATTCTGGACCCCTTGTACCTAGGTTACATCCACAATCAGTACAGTGGTAAGAGAATACTGAGGAGAGAGATGGTCATTGACATTTAGCTCCTTTTACAGTGAAGCATTTTCCTCTTTTCCTTCAAAATTGGTTATTTCATTGAACAAGAAAAAAAAATCCTTAAACCCCTTTAAAATATTAGCAATAAAATACATATTTAATAGAAATGTAGACAGTTCTGAGAATTCCAGGCACCAAATTTTGTCTAGTCCAACCAATCTAATATCATCTGAACAGAAATAAAACAAACTCCCTGTTCTCTGCACTTGATTAAGCCCTTGTAAACCACATTCTCATGGTCCCTGTATAGGCACCTTTAGTTAGCTTAGCACTTCCTTGAGTACCATTGGGGGTATATTTTGGGATTAGCATCTCCTGCTACCTCCAACAAAAATCGTTGCTGCAAAGTGGCTGACTGTCCATCTTTCTGTCAGGGTAGGCTTTAACAAAAAAGCATCTTCAGATCACAGAGTTCTCAACACTGGCAAAACAACCACCAGGTCACCAGGAGCCTGAGAGAGGAATTAGCTTGCCACACTATTAATTTAATACTGTGTCTAAGAAAACTCTTGTCTTCAGTGTGTGACCGTACTGCAGTATTTTCCCTGCAGGGTTCTTTTAATGACCCTTTTTGCTCCAGCTCCATAGCAAATAGTCCATATAAGAACATTTGTTTTTCGTTATGAGTATATCTTAGCCGAGACTCAAAAAATCATGTTCATCCCTCAGACCTTTTTTCTCTGGAATATCCAGATCCCCTCCCATTCAGGAGCCTAAAGGTTATAATACCTGTGGCTTGGATTCTTTATGTCAGAAATGTTGCTATGTGCCAGTGTGGATAAGGCAGAATATGCCCAAGAAAGATTTAGTTATTTGGGAAATACAACATATCCACTAGTGTAGAAGAAAATAGTCCTGAAAGACATTCCTACTCTTTGACTCAATTTACTGCCATTGCTATGTGCTAACAAGTGTTTGAGGATCTATTTAAGGGCTACTTGTAGTCACATGAGAAGCTGGCAGCAGCTCAGTAATTTGAGTTCACCAGTTCACACACTCGTTATCATATTCTTTGGCTTGCCTGTAAAAAAATTCACTAGCATGTTGGAAAGCAAGAAGAATGTGAAAATCACTCTCATTTTCAGCCAGAACATTTCAAGACACAGAGAAATGAGGTTTTGTTCTTCTGACTTTTAGAGCAATGAGATCTGAAATATGGATACTCTCATCTTTCGCAGGTACCACTCCTTTTCTGCACCAAAACACATGTGAAGTAACCGCATGTGCCCACTAGCCTGACCTTGAGCATTTGGGGAGGATGTCAGGCAGTTTCCCTCTCAAAGCAGAGTCATGACCCCTCAGTATTTCAGAGGATGACAGTGTCTGCTTTTCTAATTCCATGGTTTGTATGAATTGTCAGCATTTTTACAGCTTCATACAGAAGTACAATCTGCAAGAAGGGTCTCCAACAAAAAGCTCCTCTATTTCTTTATATAGTTCTCTATTTATCTACCCCCCAAAGGTCCTGGTCAGGGCCCTCAGCACACCAAGGAGCTGTAATTGCCCTGAGCAGTCCATGCAGGGTCTCCACTGAGGCCCCCTGCACCAGGAGCTGTGCTTAAGCTCAGCTACTTCCCCGGGCCCCAGCTTGAGTTACATTGAGGATATGCCTCTAACCAGCCCTGTAACTTATCAATGCTGCCCTGGCTTCCTGGCTTGACCTTGGACCTTCCTGGTCACTTGAGACTTTGTTGGTGAGAGCATTGCTCCTACCTGCACTGTTGCCACCCTCAGTTCTTGCTTACCTTCCCTTGCAGAGCTGCCCGCTCTTGCTACTCCCTGACAAAGGTGCTGAAAAATGTTTAACATATGGATGAATGATATGCAAGGAACAGGGTCTGATTAATAACCTCAATTTGCTAAATATGGACTGCCACATACACTCTTATTTTTAGAGCCAGTGTATTCTGATGGATTTTGCAATCAACATAATTGCCTCCACTAAAGTGAATTATATATTAGATGCTATAGCTTGTGCTTTAGAAGCGACTGATTATCATGAGAAAACAGATTTGCCAATAATTTGAAAGGCAATATTAATATGCAACATTTCATAATGAAAGATGGTCAGTGATTTATATAAATGGGCATTTGAACCACCAACCAGTACTAAATCACACTTTGGTAGCTGTGCAGTAAACACAGACTACTCACTCTTGAAAATTCTGTTCAGGCATTCACAAAACGTGGGCAATGTGAGAGCTTAAAGTGAGACTGCAAAGTGTTCTAGTGACAGTTGCATGAAGAAGGTGTCTGGGTTTTCCCTCTTGCAAGTTTTTAAACTGTTACACCCAAAATAACCCGTTTTCATGGTTAGCTACCTGTTTCCTATTCTTGACTGTTCACTTGTACTTGAAAACACCTAAGAAACCTCTATAGATTTTTTTCTTTAAATAAGAACATAGTGATAATGGCAGGTTTCATTCCAGAATCAAGAAACTGGACAGAGTACACATTATATTACACACACTTACTGAAAAAAATCAGAGCTTTCACCCAAAAGTTAAACTGGGGAACTTAAGCTTGTTGCTAAACAGGGGCTAAATCTTCCCTCTCACCACAGCAGAGAAAAAGCCTCAGCTAAATTCAGTGGAAGTACAACTGGGCCTCTGAAGACCACGGATAATGCCACCTACACATCCACCACCATGTACACAAACTTAAACTCCTTACATAATTGTCCCAGTGCCAGTGGTGTTACAGCTTGATTCAGCCCCAGGTGGTGGGTGTAACTTTCAGTGAACACTCATTATCTCCACTGAGGCCAGATTAAATTTATACTCTCCGTGAGTCAAAATTCTGGTTTCAGAGTCAGTGTGTACATGCCTAGTCAGTATTTAAAGAGCAGAGAAAATAGAAAGTACTGCTTGGTGTAAGGGTTTCAAAGTGCCCTGTGGGCAAACAGTTCTCCCTCCATACGCAAATGGCTGCGTCAGATGGAGAATTATGGGACAATCGGCACAGAGCGTGACTGCAGGATGGAGAAAATGAAATCAACTATCTTACTTAAATGTAAGGATTTCTAGGGGTATTTATACTATCTTGAGATCACCTCTGCTTTTACACAATAATAATAAAAAAAAATTTTTGCTCTTAGGAACAGCTATTGAGTTTCACTTAGTCTTAAAAAAAAGATGACAACTTTTAGGTGGGCAAATGCATCACCAGTCAACCTCATGTATCTATAAAAGAAC